AAAAAAAAAAAAAAGAAAAAAGAAAATCATCTAGGACCTGGTTATGATAGTCTAGGAGGAGTGAATTGCAGGCCTATCTAGGGTGGTGGGAGTGTTGTGAAGGGAATTTACAAAATGTCTTATTGTTAGGAGTGGCTAATATGATATTGATGCTTCATATCCTTATTGATTTTTTTCATTTATTTATTTATTTTACATTTTTCCACAAGCATTTACTTTAAAATATCAAAAAAATTTAGCTCATATTCCATAGTTCTTGACAGTTAATAAACAACTTTCAAAATTTCAAAATACTGAATTTTAAAGATAATATTCAAAATATTTCTTACAATTCTGTTTGTGACTCTATAACAACAGAAACAGTATGGCTTTAAATATTTTTGAGAAAATATTTACATGTCAACTACTCAAATTGTTGAAAAGCAAATGCTCAGCACACTAGTCACACATAAACCTGCTGAATTCAGCCCTGCCTACCAAGTATTCTGTGAGACACCATCTGCTAGCAAAGATCAGTCTCTTTTTCTTCCTTCAAAGTCTTTCTCAAAATAATCCTCTGGTGTGGTTGCTCTTTGCAACCTCTACCGATTATAGTGCTGGGCTGGAAAAGTCCAGGTTATTTTTTGTTATAAATTCTTTCATATATCTTCTCTAATCCTCTCTGTCAGGCAGAACTATTTATGGTACCAGGTCATTTTTCTAAGAGCTTCTGTTAGCTTACTTGAGATCCACCTTAGTTCCATAGTTTTCTGATTAATCTTCAGATACAACATTCCAGTCAAAGCCCTGTTCAGTGAGTATTTCCAATTTCTGAATCAATTCAACAAGCATTACTGAACTTATGCAAATAACCCTTCTGCCACAAAATAAGAATACTCCCAAGTATTTCCAATTCAAGAGGGGTCAAGAAGGAATAAAAGTTTGTTTCCATTTAAAGAAACAAATGAGAAAAATATTTTAACAAATTGTTGAACCTATCAACAACTCAAAAGAAAGTAAAATGTTTAAATTGGGAAAACAAAGCATAGTAAAAAAAATCAGTAATGTTTTACTCAAAGGCCATAAAATTTTATTTTGCCTGTTCAGTCTTACGTTCAAACTCTCTTCTGTTCAATACACAGTGTTGACTGTGGTCCAATCTTTCCGTTTAAATCCTTAAAGTTAATATTCAACGTTGTATTGATACTTCTCGTCCCTAGCATTAAATTGGTCGTTTTCTTGGTTGCCTTTTGTTCTTTTATTTCTGTATGTATCTTTAGTTTTACTGGTCGAGCATTCCTTTCAGAACTTCTTGAAGAGTGGGTCTGCTACTGGCAAATTCTTTTAGATGTTGTTTATCTGAGAATGATTTTATTCTTTCTTTCCATATGAAAGATAATCTTGCCTGGTATAGTAATCCCTATTGTCTTTTATCCTTCATGTGTCAGGTACTAAAAACCCAAGATGCAGAGTCTGTCCTGCGGATAGGAATTATGTGTACATGGTTTACTTTGATTTCTAGGAGCAAGACAGATTTCTTCCACATTGGTCCCCATGGGGGTGCTGGGAATGTTGGTAGAGTGCCTCAAGACATCTATGAAAAGTGCAAAAAATTTTCTATAGTCGTATGCTAAAAGCGTGATATATTTCTATGACCTCCCAAGCGCACAGTCATGCCAAGTATTTTCTTGCAATCATTTTTCTGTGTCTGCTAGTGCTTGCTGGAATTATTTTTATTTATTTATTTATTTATTTATTTATTTATTTATTTATTTATTTATTTATTTTTACTATAGGATATGTGCATTGATAGAGAGAGAGAGAGAGAGAGAGAGAGAAATCACCTCACACACCCCCCTGGGGGGAATAGACATACCACATTCCCTTCTTTTCCAGTCTCCTCTTGGGATTTTGGACAAGCACACACACGTGCCTGGCATGATATTCAAGCCCTCAGGCCTGGGACTTCAGCAGCACAATCAGCTATGTGGGATCCAGTGCCTTAACCTCCGTGATTGGTAATTTTTACATGATGATTTTCTGAATATGACATTGATCCAGTATTGCACTGATGTGGTAATTATTTAATGAATTTTGTGGGTGATAATCATAGGTACTAAGACCTGTTGTATGAAATGAAGCTCTTTTGACTTTCAATAGAGAAATTTTATCATCAAATTAGAGAGGTTCTACTTATCCCAAGAAAGTTAGGCAAGTCCTGATGTTTACCAGTTTTAACTCAATTAAACACACACATACCCACATACAGTCAAATTGATTAATATTTCATAAGTTAACTGGATTGTCTCCTTGGTTAATTCTTTATAGTTTTTTTTTTTTTTAATTTGCAGGGAAGAGAATTTATCAGAATTTTTTCCTAGACCTGTCTTAGAAATAACAGCATATTTTAATCAGAGATTTGTAAGTATCATTTTCTTATTTACTTAGGAAATTAGGCACTATTTTTGGGGGGAAGAAATGGATCTTTCAGTAAAATATTTGACAGGATATACAATCTGAATTGGCATGCAAAGTTTGAATGAGAATAAAACACACATAAGAACCTGCCACTCCTCAGAAAGCAAAACAAAGAAACTAAAACCTTGATCAAAAAATCACCAAGTCTGTCAACAGCTAGTGAATATTGGATTTATTTTTGGGCAATTTCTCTTTCTTGATGTAATTTTCATGATCTTTTAAAATTTGTGAACATATCTCTGTCTACATATTTTAGAAAATTTGTTGCATTAATGAGGATGAAGAGAAAAAGTATAGGGAATGAATACAACAGAAGGAAGAATTTGTACTCTGTTAAAAGTTATGTGGCTGGAGCCAACAGGTGGTATAGTGGTTGAGACACTGGACTCATGTGGCTGACTGTGGTTTGAGTCCCGGACCCAGTGCTTGAAACATACTGGGCATATGTGTACATGTGTGCCCCAAATCCTTAGAGGGGAATGAAAGAGAAGGGATTGTGGTGTGGCCAACCCCCTGGGAGTGATTTCTCACTTTCTGTCTCTCCATCTCTGTCTCTCTGGTAAGCATATGTACTCTATAGCAAAAAATCTCTCTCTCTCTCTCTCTCAAAAAAAAAAAGTTATGTGGCTTTGGACAACTTTGTATTTTCCATCAATACATTCAGCAAATTAAAAAAAAAATCAAAGCTAGGTCCTATAATAGCTAAGCTTCATTTAGTTTCATCTCGTCATATTTATAAAATACCTATTATTGAGGAGAAACAGTCATTTTATAAACTATGATGCCTAAGTAACTATTCAACAGGATGGAGAATCTGGGAAAGACTTCCTAGTTGAATTCACCATGAGTTCAAGACAAGCAAACATTTTCACAAATAATTTATTAGATGAATTTAGAGGAATCAGTGTGAGAAAAGAAAATCCAAAAGCCTTGTCTAAAAATGTATCTGTAATGACTGGATTTTTCTTCTTTTCTGAAAAAAGCTTCAGATCTAATGGAGTTCTATTATAGCACTAAAGCAAATAATCAGCAAATGGGTTTAAGCGCAGAGTTGAGGGTGCTGGTGTAAAACCAGACAGATCAGTAAAGCAAAGTCAGGTAACTAGTTTGTAGCAGAGTGGGCTCATCACTGGCTGTATGAGATCTTGGATAGTAAACTTTTGGGCTTCTGATCTGTACATATCTGTGTTTGGAGATGACTAGAAATGATAACAACCTTAGATCATTTTATGATTCCCGGAAATCTGGAAACAGTGTTGCTTGGTAGTTAATAGTCATTTTATCTAGATTAGTTTATGATTATTATAATGACATTAACATTTGCGTAGTAGCTTATAAAACCAGCCAACAGGATCTGAGACATATTTGTAACTTGTTTCATCAGATAAGATCTCAGCAAATTGTTTAATGAAAAGGTATATTAAACTCTTTATTACACTTTCTGTAGCAATACAGGCTGTTTCCTGACTATGTGGCATTAGTTTTAAGTTCTAATGCATCCACTTATTAATCTTTATTTGGGGCAAGTTATCTAAACACTCTAGCGCTTCAGTTGTCAGTAAAATGAGAGTAACAATGCTTACATTACAGGCTTGTTATGAGGATTAAAATGAAAAAATACTATATAAATAATAGAGAAAACCTATACTGTAATCATAATTTCCTATCTTTATTGTATTATTTTGCAGATCTTGGTATTTTATCCACTTAAAGTTTCATTTGTCAGCATATATTCAATATAAGCTATTTTATGGATGATGGTGGTATTTATAAAATCACTGGAAGAATTGTTAAGATGATTCTTTTTTAAAAATTGTAATTATTTTAGAGAGATTTTTGCTATAAGTGCGTGCATTCACTGGAGAGATAGAGACAGACAGTGAGAAATCACCCCTGGGTAGATGGCCACGCCACAATCTCCCTTTCCTCCATTCTCCTCTTGGAATTTTGGGTACGTGCACACATGCCCAGTGTGAGTTTTAAGTCACCGGGTACAGGACTTGAACTGTGGTCTACTACGTGGGAGTCCAGCAACATAATCATTGCACCATCTGCTGGTCCCAAGATGAAGATTCTTAACCACATTTCCAGCTACTCTTAACACACTTCTTAATATTAATAATTCCCAAGAAAGTGATCTACAGGCTACTCTTTACAAAACACAAATTTTCCTTAAATACTGATTTTCAAACTAGTTGGTTATCAAAATCCAGGGGCAACTTTGTTGAAAATAAGTTTTCAGATCTCCACTTTAGAAAGTCCAATTCAACAGATCTGCAGTAAGGCTTTGAAACCTGTATTTTTTAAAATTTACCTTGCTGATTTTGATATTTATAAACAACTGCTTTAGACCCTCACCGTGTGCCTAACTTTGAGTGTGTGTGTGTGTGAAGCTTTTGGTTGTGCTTACCTGATACAGGTGAGGAGATACCATCATGAGTGTGTGCTTCAGTTAGTAGGGATCAAGCTACAGGAGCACAAAGATTTTGAGTTTGGATGTCTGCATTGCCTGCATTAATGGAACTGACAGTCCTTGCACCCTTGGTTATATAGCTGTTTTAAGTAAATCTGTGTGTCAAGCCTGTAAATCACAGATTTCCTGAACTAGAAAGGAGTGTTCTAGACTAGTTTAAACATCTTATTTCACAGAGGAGGAAAGTAAAATCAGAGATTCGCCCAAGGACACAGGAGGAGACTAGGACTAACAACCTGCTTTCTGCCCAACCTGTTTCATTTCCATCACAATAGCTACCAGATTTTGCCACTTCACCTGTCACACCTGAGAAATAAGCTTCTTTAATGCTGACTTTAGACTTCTGAGCAGGCATAGAAATAATTCTGAGTCAGCTTTTCTATTTAACTGTCCAGGAGTCTGAAAGAAAGAATGTCCTTTCCATTTTCGTTCTCCACCCTGAATCGAAAGAGGCAGTAAGGGCGCTGAGGAACCTGGGGACTCACCAGGAGAGGTGGGATTCCTGTTCCTGCTGTGGCGCCATCTTCTCCCTTGCCTTCCTGATTCATTACCTTAGCCAGAACTGTGCCTTTTCTTCGTATCGTATCTCCAGGTGGCAGGCCATCCTCAGTTTTGTGTGTCTTCTTACACTTTTTTATTTAACTTTTTTTCTTTTATTTCCATCACAATAGCTACCAGATTTTGCCACTTCACCTGTCACACCTGAGAAATAAGCTTCTTTAATGCTGACTTTAGACTTCTGAGCAGGCATAGAAATAATTCTGAGTCAGCTTTTCTATTTAACTGTCCAGGAGTCTGAAAGAAAGAATGTCCTTTCCATTTTCGTTCTCCACCCTGAATCGAAAGAGGCAGTAAGGGCGCTGAGGAACCTGGGGACTCACCAGGAGAGGTGGGATTCCTGTTCCTGCTGTGGCGCCATCTTCTCCCTTGCCTTCCTGATTCATTACCTTAGCCAGAACTGTGCCTTTTCTTCGTATCGTATCTCCAGGTGGCAGGCCATCCTCAGTTTTGTGTGTCTTCTTACACTTTTTTATTTAATTTTTTTTCTTTTTTAATTTGCTAGAGGGTGCATGTGCTTGCCACAAAGAGACAGAGAGAAGAGGAGAAGGAGAAAGCACTCCCCAGTGGGGTGCGATGACACTGCAACCCCATTTTCTTCCATTTCTCCAACTTGTTGGGATATTGGGTTTACACGAACACAAGCGTGGTGTGTTCTTCAAGTCGCTAGTGCCAGGACTTCACCATCACCAGCTCTGTTGGCCATTTGGGATCCATCTCACTTAACCACCAAGCCACGGGCTGGCTAAATCTGTTTCATTCTTCCATCCTTTTTTTTTTTCTGGGCATTTCTGACACCACTTTAGTGACCCTTATTTTGACCTTTTCGTGTCTGCAGTGCCATTAATTTAAACAGATATTAAGTCCTACTCTGTCCCAAGAACTGTCCTGGCTACCAAATGTAGTACTAGTTTTGGAGTAATTCTCAGTGTCATGGGGGAGGAGACTAGTGTGAAAAATGTGGGAACATTTGTGAGTGCCACAAGAACCCAGGAATCACAGGTTACACTTTCTAGGGAAGTCAGATAAGACTAGAGAGGAGGTGATGTTCATCTGTTTCAGGGCAAAAATCAGAATTCATGGTATAAATGTGCAACATTTTGAAACTCATAAAGGGAGCATTCCTAAGGCTTAGTAAAGAGAACTTATACAGCTGAGATTAATATGTATTAATACATATGACAGATGTCAACATGATGGAAGAAGAGAGACCACAGAATGACAGGAGACCTGAATCTTCTCATATCTGCACCCCCAACCTAGCCAATCCAGTCAGACTCTCAAGGCTTTCCTCTATTTGCTCCTTCAATTCATTTAAATAATGAAATGCATATTATAGGCCATCCCATGACCTTGGGATTTAATCAAGTGGAGGAAAAGTGCTTCCCAGACAAAGTACTCTCTGAGCCAAAGCCACAGGGTTGAGTTCTTGTTAACCAGGTGAAGAGCAGCGTTGGAAGGAGTGTGTTACTGCGTAGAGAAACCACATTATGTCCAGTGCCTGAATCTGAAGGTAAAAAGAAATATGTCTTAGAGTTTCAAGTGTTGAATGAAGAGCAGTTCCCTTCTATTATGGGATGGGAGAAGAAGGGAGGGGCAGCAAGAGATAAGCTTGTGAAGTAAGCAAGGCATAGATCATGAAGGGCGTTGCAAGTCACATTAAGAAATTGGGTGTGTGCTCTTTCCACCATGTTGGAGCCCATGGAGGCCTGCTGGGAACAGGACTTCTAAAAGGCAACTATGTCTGGAAAGCTGTAGTCCAAGGCCAGTTTTGCTGGCTATAAGCGAGGTCTCAGGAGCCAAAGGGAGCATACAGCTGTTCTTAAAACTGAAGGTGTTTATGCACGAGATGAAACGGAATTCTATTTAGGAAAGAGGTGTGCTTATGTGTACAAAGCAAAAACCAACACAG